CATTTGATTTTTCCTACTGGGAAGTTAGAATTTCCGAGGAGAAAGCGAACGCACCATTAGATGATAACAATGGTGGCAATGGAAGCTAACATATCAAGCTAACGTTAACTTAAACAGTTTATTTAACTGCTGGAGCACGATGATGCCTCACACTTAGATCGTTGTAAAGTGAAGCCAAACTTTAGTGCGCGTTCATGTTCTTCTAGTCGGAAATTCTGAGTTCCGAGGAGAAAGCGAACGCACCATTAGCGAAACGGAAGCTAACAAATCAAGCTAACGTTATATTAAACCTTTTATTTACCTGCCGGAGCAGATTAAGATGAGGATGTCTCACTTAGATCGTTGTCGCCAGGGGCGGATTTAGGACTGAAGAAGATCCGGGGCTTAACACACACGCGCGCGCACACACACGCGCACGCACGCGCACACACACGCATGCGCGCACACACGTGACACGCACTAGTCAACATCATATATATATATATCTTGTACCACATAATGTTTAATCTGAAGCTACATATTCAGCATATTCAGGGCAGAGTATTGTTCCTGTTAGTGTTTAGTGTGAGATGATAGTGAATATTCCCTTTCTTTCTCCAACAACTTTACCTGATAGTAAGCTAACTTTAGGCAAACCAGCAGCACAACAAATATTTTCAAATAAGACTCACAAACCTGAGTCAACACCAGTCTCATCAGAGCTGGGGTTCTGTCGTTGTACTTTTGGTCTAAAAAAACGTCCTTATATCCATCTTCACTCATGCGTTTCAGACAGACTGCAGAAGCCAGCTGCTGAAGGGCTTCTCTTCAGTCTCAGGGGTTCGACTCCTGGTCGGGTCATACCAAAGATTTTGAGAAAAATGGGATGCCTCCCTGCTTGACACTCAGCATTGGATTGGGGGGTTAAACCATCAAATAGTTCCCGAGCGCGGCGTGTCTGCAACTCAGGGGATGGGTCAAAATCGGAGAATAAATTTCACCACACACCTGTGTGTGTGACGACTAAATGGGACTTTACAAACTACTGCCAGCTGCGCCCTCTCTGTGTGACTTTGGTACTGCATGTTACTTCCGCGATTTAGATCCGGGGCTTATCATGAAAGATCCGGGGCTTCAGCCCAAGTAGCCGGGCCTAACGCCGCCCCTGGTTGTCGCTGGTTTCATCATCACCCAGTTACCCATCAGATTTAGTGAAGTGGACCCAAGCTTTAGCGTGCGTTCTTTGCATGCTGCTCTGTTTACAACTGGCTCGAAGCGAGCGACGACATAACGCTTTTGCGCATGCGCAGCTGTCTTGGCAAGTTCTCGTTATGAAGGACGGGTACCGAAACGAGGCACAGTTTGAAATGACGTGAATCAGTACTCGGTCGGTACTATGGAATTCGGTCAGTACCTTAAAAAGTACCGAATTCGGTACCCATCCCTACCAACAATGGAAGAGTGTCTTCAGTCAGAGGCTTCTTCAGTTTGGCTGCAACACTGACCGCTACTGGAGATCCTTCCTGCCAACAGCCATTGTAATATACAACAACTCTTTGATGACTTGATTATTATTATTAATATTCCGAGCTACTACAGCAATCAATTTCCCTCTGGGATTAATAAAGTATTTTTGAATTGAATTGAATGTAGGTCTAGCCACGCTCCATTGGAGCCTGGGCAGTTTTGTTTTGTGCCAATCACAGCGCTCTATTGGTTTGGTGGGCGGGATGATGTGACGGAGCAGAACAAAGATGGTGACGGCTCGTTTGAAACAGCTTTGGCACCAACTTTGGACTATTTAGACTTGGGCTTATCTTCAATAGAAGATAGAGGTACTTAAGTCCTTTGTTTACAAAAAGGATGAATTTGCATCTTCTTCAACAGTGCATGACGGACTGCCCCTTTACTGACATCCACAGTGGTGAGTATGCCATGTTGTTCGCTGTCCAATAGCGTGCGGAGACAGTTTGAAAGACAACCATAGATCCCACCCAATGACTGAGCTCTGTCTATGGGTTGTGGCTAGACTATATTCACCTATACAGGATCGCTACCCAGGCTATATTTTATGAGATTCAGCTTTGTGGAAAACGGTATTTTTTTAGGAAATGCCCTTGAGATACTGATCGATTTCTTTCTGGCTTCTTCATTCTGGCCATCTTGTGATCAGGGTCCACTGGGTAGACGGAAACAGTAAGTAGACGTCACTTAGAAAACAACATGTACCTCTCACCTGTTTTTATTCTGCCTGCCGTCCCTCTACACACAATAACTTCACCCTACTAATTATTCTCCTTGTCCCCATGAAGCAGTCACCGTGAGACTTGGATGATGCAGGATTTGCCAGCAAAGGATTTCAAGCAATTAAGATGTCGATAATGTGTGGAAATAAAGTGGGGCTTGTTCATTGGCTTACACATAGTAGAGAACACACACTTCACCCTGTGGATGACCTTCTAAGTGACAAGCTGCAGCTTACAGGCCTGGGAAGGCTTTACATGTAATTCAAACAATTTTCCATCTCATTTGTACTCACTTTAGGCCTCAGCCTTCCTGATTAACACATCGAAGGAGAAGACGCCTGCTGCTCAGAGAGGAGAGAAGCTGGTCAGAGGCAACAATGACACAAATGCACAGAATAAATATATCCTTGCAACTCATTGAATTGACACATAGATCTGAAAAGCAGATGTGGTTTTTTTTTTTTCAATAAATATTGTCTCTGGGCTCCTAAAATGGCCTTTTTGTGAACGAATACCATAAAAAGAAAATTTGGGCGCATTCAGAAAACACCATTGCCATGTGGATGGAACATGAGATTACAAATATCTACAAACAATTAGCTAACACTCTGAGAATTTAAGTCTTCAATCCCAGAAATGTGTGTGCATCATTGATGCTCGTCTCCTCCACACTGTCAAAAATACCCAAAACTAAGTATTTTAATTGATCAGTTTGGTTTTACCTCACACACACACACACACACACACACACACACACACACACGCGCGAGCGCACACACACACACACACAAGTACCCAAAAAATCAGAGGGGATTAAAGCTTTCTGGAGTTTTCCTCTTTCAGAAATTATGTACGATTTGTCAGAAATCTGTAAAAGTGATCATCTCATGTACTGTGATATAATATAAGAAATACGCCTTTTTTTGTCGCTAAGCAGAGCTCTATGCAATGTGAAACTGAGCACCGACCAGAACTAAACAATAGCGTTAGACTACTGCTTACTTGCTTCAAATTTAAGGAATACCTCGACTGATGCAGAGTTGATGAGCTTTTCATGGACAAGAAAGTCTCTAAAATATAAATAAATGAGAACACAACATATGAGAATAATACTCATAAAACAACGTGTTTTAGCTGTTTGTTGCTACAGAAGCACATTTATAAACAGAAACGTGAAGTCGCCATCTTAAAAAAACAGAGGAACCGCGTTTTTGTGCGATACGCTTGTCAGCCACTAGATGGTGCCATTGGATAAGAGAAATACTCCGGAAAGAAGCAATAAAGGAGCGTGTCGCTTACATCATCGGTGTCACAGGGATCTGATCAAACTGAAGCCTGCAAATGTTCCTGATTGTATTTTAAAAAGTGTTTTGTTGGTTTGAGTAAATAAAGGAAGTTTGAATTTACCAACATGAACAATAACTGATTATATCTCTACAGAGGATTCCAGAGTACTTGGCTGCAGCTCTGCAGGCGAGTCCAAACTCCAATATGTCTCCTCAGAATGGAGGTTTCAGCTGAGAACAAATGAAGCGAGTCAGCTAATAGGACATTTACATCATGGAGGATTACAATAATAAAAAGGTCAAAAGGCAATTGGCGGCCTCGTGAGAGGAAACTTTAATCGCTCTAGCTGTGACAGAGAAAGCAGTTCTGCATCATACTTTTTTCACTGGAATTTTGCTCCACAATAAAAACGTTCTAAGAAATGTTCTGAGATATGCATTTGATGAGAAATCATCTTTTAAAGCCTGTGGAATCGTGAAAAACTACAGTACAGGCCAAAAGTTTGGACACACCTTCTCATTCTATGTGTTTCCTTTATTTTCATGACCATGAGCATTTAGAAAGGGGCCAACAAGTGCTAAACACCTCTGGGAACTCCTTCAAGACTGTTGGAAAATCATTTCAGGTGATGACCTCTTGCAGCTCATCAAGAGAATGTCAAGAGTGTGTAAAGCAGTAATCAGAGCAAAGGGTGGCTATTTGAATAAAATAGAATATAAAACATGTTTTCAGTGATTTCACATTTTTTGGTAAAGTACATAACTCCACATGTGTTCATTCATAGATTTGATTCCTTCAGTGAGAATCTCCCAAAGTAAATGGTCATGAAAATAGAGACAACACATTAAATGAGAAGGTGTGTCCAAACTTTTGGCCTGTTCAACTAAAACAAATCTGCTCTACATTAAAGTAAAGACTCCAAGATTATTAATGACATCATCTTTGTGATGCAACACATTAACCTTCAGTTATTTAAATATGACATTTTATTATGGTGTCAGGTTTCCGCCAAAACCCGTGCAAGCGTAGCCAAAACCTGTGCACGCGTATTGTCCACATCGCGCATGCGAACGGGACTCGCGCGTGGAGGTTAGAACCTCATGAGTGAAAATATACATGGCGAGGAGGTCATTTGTACACTGAGAGGGAGCAAACTGTGTCTGTGAGCGCACAAGGATGTGCACAAGTGACAAACCTGCGTGCGCGCGTTGGCCAACGAGCACACGGCAGAGGAAAACATGCGCGCGGCAGCCTCACTGCGTGCTCGGTGCGGCAGCCTCACTGCGCGTGTGGCAGCCTTTCTGCGTGCTCGGTTTCTGATTCTGCTCGCTCGGCTGTTGGGAGTTTTGGCACTCTGGAGGCATGGAAGAATTAAAGTGCCAGAAACTGAGCAGTTGAACTTTCAATTTGAGAGCAGAATTTCATATCAAGAGACCATCTTTTTAATTTCAGAATATGATTTTATATTATTGCTCTCAAAACTTGTAATGCTTGCGCTCAAAATGTCTGCTCTCTTTCAAATTCACTCTGTTCTCCTTCAAATCTTTGTTTTTGCGCTCAGATTTAACCTTCTTACACTGGTATTGTCTTCTCATGTGACAACTTTTTCTCTACACGGATCAAAACTCCTCCCACAAGTCTGTCCCCTGCTCTCACGGGTCTTGTCTGCTCTCGCTCAAAACTTAGAAGTACAATCTCCTAGCAACCGCTCAGCCAATAGAAAGACTTGTGGGACTGGGCGGGAACAAACCTCTTTGGGGTGCGCTCGTTTTGCGCTCTGTGGATTTTCCTGTGTGGCTGCCGCATCTGCGCACCAACAGCCTGGCTAATACCCGCTCTGATCTGGAGCGATAGTTTCACCTGCACCAGCAAAATGGACCAGAACCAACAAGACGCTCAAGTAAGTTATTTTTTAAGGCTACTAGCTGCAGTTTATTCCATAAAATTGTTTTGTTATGCTACTTTTTACGACTCCTCGCATTTAATATTGCAACAGGGGCACAGCTAGGTGGATTAGGGTCCTACATGGAATAAAATGTCCGGTGTTTCATCCAGAAACTGGGGGTCGAGTTATGAGGGGCTAGATATGTGTGTCAGGGAAATATCCAAAAATGTTTTCTAGTGCCGTATTCCCCAGAGTTGGATAAGTGAATGAAAAAGGATTGTTTTAACCAGCGCAGTAATTCTTATCTGCCAGCAGTCTGTCTGCTTTAGATTAGAATAAACCATGTAACTTAATGGGAGGTAGTAGCATTTTGTGTGCAAAACTGTAAAATTACTAAATTATGATACCAGTTATTCCTGTTGAGCTCAATAATCATGTTGACTGCAAATGAAAAGTAAGAAGTAACACATTTGCAGGAGCCAATTTAGACAGTAGACAAATTTTCACTTAGGGTTGAATATCCCTTTAAATTAAACTTCAAACATGCACGTAAGCAATTTACAGAATATTTTAATTACATTTCATGTTAATCATTATTGTTTACTTAACAATGATTGTTGGTCACTGATTTAAAAAAATGTCTTTAATAGGTTTCCTGTCCATTGTGTGATAAGAATTTACTCAGGAGTCTATACAATTGCATGCCAGCTTTTGTGGTGAAGGAGGAAGAGGACAGGTGCATGTTTTTACCCATGCACGTTGTACACAATATGCTATGAGAGTTTAATCTTTTTTTTTTGTTTGTTTCCACATCTGAACAGCATCATACTGGATGTGGATGACTCTTCCAAGCACTTAAGCTGGTTAGAATTTTTACAAACATTTGTGTTAATGTGTAGGTTTTAAAATAAATAATAATAAACACAATGTTGTTGTCAATAGCTTATCAGACATCCTGAAGTTCCTACAAGAAAGAGTTGACAACACTAAAACCTTAAACATTAATGTGACAAGGGACGACCTTTACCAGAGAGGTCTGAAACAGTGGGCCAGACAGAAGCAGGCTTCCCTCAAAAACCAGCTAAGTGTTTCCTTTATTGGAGAACACGGCATTGATGAAGGAGCACTATGCAGAGAGTTCCTAACCGGTATGTAGTCCTTGCTAATGTCAACATACCAACTTTGAATATAGTTGAAAATGGCAAACTGTCATTTCTTTTTTCCCAATAGAAATGATGCGAGGCCTTGAGTTGAACTTATTTGAAGGAGTTTCATGCAAAGGCAAAACCCCAAATATAGTATCTCTTACTACCAGGAAAACAGATACAGGTATGTACAGTATGATGCTGCTCTGCAGTGTAACTTGGCTTGTTTTGTGTTCAGGATCTGTGGGGAGATCATTGCCACCAGCTTGGTTCAAGCAGGACCAGCACCGAATTTCTTTTCTACTTGGTCTTACCATTTCTTGCGTCATGGACAAATAACAAATGAAGATGTGCCAGAGGTGACTGATACGGAAACCCAGAACCTGATTCAGGAGGTAAATTAAACAGAATAATTTATTTTCTGTAAATTGTACTAACAAGTGTTTCTGATTGAAGGTCGAACGTGCCGAAGAAGACGCAATGACAGACCTTTCTGATGCCATTGGTCAATTCACAGCAATTGCAAAAGGGCCATCATTGAGTAGGCTATGTTAATGTAGCATTAAACAAGTCATGCAATTTTTGAAAATTGAGTTATTCTAAGTTCATTATTCTTTTTACTAGGGCCATCAGTTTGCATTCGGTGATGAGACTCATACCGATGCTAAGTCAGCTTAGAGAAGGACTGGCCATCTAGGGTTTGGATGAGCTGTTGCCACAACACCACCAGGCACTTCAGCCCCTCTTTCTTCCTGGGAACCTTAGACAGGTAAGTACAAATTCTTTAGGCCTCTGCAAAAAAAATATGTCCATTACAAAAACATATAGGAAATGCAGAGAAGCTGAAGCTGTTTTTGTTCCATCAACAGTTCTAATCGATTTTTATAAAAATACTAAGAATCAAATCGATTCACAAGTACAAGAATCTGTTTGTTTAACATTGTTTGCCCCAATTTATTTTTTACAGCTATCATTTTTTTTACAGACAGCAATTTTAAGTTTTCTTTAAGGAAGCTATCAGATGTATTTTTTATTCTAATATCATGGCAATGAAGTTTTACATATTCTTTAGTGGTATACATCTTCATTTTCTTATATTAATTTAGCTCTGCAGGATAAGCAGAAGCAGCCCTAACAGTTTTATCTTTTTAATTCACAGTATTTTTAAAAACGTCTTTTGTAGGTGGATGCAGACTTCGTTGTGGAGGCACTGGCTCCTCAGTACAGCGACAATGGATGAGTAAGACACAAAGGAAGTGGACGTGATCAACTTTTTGCAGGACCTCTTGCAAAACCTGGAAGGAGGAGGTAGCCACAGAACCATGCAGGATTATTCCACTTTTACTGCTCATAATGCTTAGCTCTTTTTAAAATTGTTATGTTCAGTGCCTTGGGCTCCTGTAAAGGCAGTGGAAGGTGTTACATAAATAAAAATTGATTGATTGAGAAAATTTTGAAGTGTCAGAGAGACCATTGTGTTTCACCCAATCCCCCATCAAATAAAAAAAATTTAAAAATAAATTATAAATATATTTGTTTTGAAACTGATTTAGCCATTACACCTTAATTAGACAATAAAGTAACTGGCTAATTACAGAGAGGCAATCAGTACCTCAATCATGTTAGTGACACACTGATTTTTTTTTTCACCCTTCAGGAACAGATGACCAAGATGGGAGCCCATCAGATGGCTGTGGAGCAAAGCAGTTGTCAGTGCAAGGATTTTTTTCAGTGGGTTTCAGGCCAGGCACATGCGCCACTAACAGACACAGAAAGAGAATTTTACAAGATAACTGTAAATGTTGATCACGACAGTACCACCCGGTATGGACCACACTTAATCACCTTACCTACACGGCACGTTACTACATACACTGACTTTGAAAGTCAGCTTACTCAGGCAGTCTGTGATAGATTTGATTTTAGCAGACATTAAGTGAAAACAAGATGGCCACTGTTCTGGGTTCAGGTTACTGTATAATGATTCATATTTAACTTTGAATCCAAAAAGACAAATGGTTTTGTTAAATAATGTAATGTTTTGGAGCTAGAAAGCGACATTGTTACATGAATCCATAAAGTTAGGCTTATTGCCATTTCAAATACATGTTATGTATTTCTTTTGTAACATTAAAAAAGCACTGGAACTGATCTCTTGATTTTTTATTTCAAGCACACATTAATCTGACAAAGCAGCATTAACATATTCTCTGCACAATAGATAAAGTTCCTTAGTGTTTGAACGCTCCCAATTTTGTGCCAGTAGCAACTGCAGGTCAGCATGCTGCTCTTCAGTGAGGGGACTGTCGAACTACGGGACCACAACAGCACCGTCCACATCTGGGCTGTACTCTGCTGCAACATCCCAGTCGATGTCTGGCTCTTGGAAATCCTGACATTACAACAAGAGAACAATGATGATGTTTCTATATTGAGCTGCAATTTGTCAACAAATAAGCAAAATTTCCTAAATTTTAATAGAAACCAAATTATCACATTGTTGTGCAGGATTACTATATGCCAAAATTAGATAAAAAAAAACTTACAAATAGCAGGGACAAGAATAACAAAAATTCAAAATGGTTTTGATTTAGAACTTTTACTATTTTGCAGGGGTGTAATTGTCATTTACTTGCATCACCGTAATTAAGTACAGTTTGCAATTTAAAATGTTTAACCTTTAGTAGGTTTTAGGGCTGGTTGATGAATAAAAGCATATTAATTTTAAAAAATCTAATCGATCGATAGATAATTATTTCAAAATTTTAAAACCGTAGAAGAGAATATATACTGAAGTGCATCCCTGGCCATTTTATGCTATTTCTTTAAGCGACAGTCTGTAGTTTTCTGCCACTAGGGGGCAGTACGTACCTAAATCATAACAAACAAGCTACATTTTTGTGTTCCGTGATGAGCCTACCAATGAATAGCCGTAAAGGCCACAAAAAAAGCACTGGGAGTGTTGCAGCACAATTTTTTTACGGGCTAACTACCTTGTCAGATCGTTCAACCTCCTGCAAAATGACAACAAGCACATCGGACTCCCTTTCATCAGTCAGCAGTAGAGAAATGCCATATTTCACATTCAGTATCTTTTAAAGCGGCGTTCAGTATGTTCATAGAGCTCCTCATTTAGCTTCATGTTTGTGTTTCAATCTTTATTGAAATTATTTTTTAAACTTCCTGTAGTGAGCAAGGAGATCGTGACGTAACAGTTTTTTTATTTTTATATAACTTTATTAACAAACAAAGCTTACAGGCAGATGTAACTGCTGGTTGTTGGAACTGTGAGCTGCACAAAAACAGGCATAGTTGCTCCAATGACTGGATTCAAATTGGGTTTTGGAGTTAGAAACCAACTCAATATGGCGGTGAAGCAGTTACTCTCCAGCAGCCAATGATGTCTATGGTACGGCTTATGTACAAAGAAACATGCTGTCTAAAGCCTGGTTCATGCTTCTCCGTCAGCTCCGCAAGGGACAGACACGCACGGATTGACGGAAGTGTTTTGCTCTCATACTTCTCCGTCTCCTGGAGAGTGTTGCAAAGCAATTCCTCGGCAGGACAACAGAGGGCGTAGCGCTGTTCTGCAGTATCCTGTCATGTATTGGTCCAAGATAGTGTGTTTATATTGTATTTTTTGTGTATATAAGAGACTTTTAACATGGACATATTTGTCTCTCATTCTCCTCCACCTCTTCATGCGCTCGCCACCTCTAAACCCACGTTTCCTGTCATTTCCGTCCACAAATAAAACGCTTGCTGCATATCTTTTCACTTCTCCAGTCACGGGGGAACTAAAAGTTCATGTTTTTAGAGTTTTTTCGCGAGGTATTCTTCAAGCTGCTCCGTGTCTGCCGCTTGTTATCCTCGGCTCTCTTTATGTTTTTGAGGGTGCAATGACGGCGCTGTAAACAACAGCGGCGTCCTGACCAATCACAAGCTTGCGTTGTCCGTCTCGACTGACGGCTGTTTAGAAAAGAGAGCTCGACTCCGTCCGTCCTTGCGGAGCTCTCCGGCAGGCACGCAAGGACGTTGCGTGTCTCCGCACTGACGCAGACGGAGACGCATGAATCAGGCTTAAGGCTACGTTCACACTGCAGATCTTAAATATCCATTCAGATTTTTTGAGTAAATTTAATGTTTTGTGTGGTTGTACACATTATAACTGAAATACAACAGCAAACACTCTCCTGTGTTAACGTTAAAAGTACAGAAGAGAACAAGAACTCACACACTAGGAGCTCTGTGGAGTCTGAACTGAGAAGTGGAGCTGTGATCCCAAGAGCTTCACTGACAGACTTCATCCACAATTCCAGGATCACACCTGTGAAGTCTCCTGTTTTGAGCTGGAAACTATTTTCAAAACTAAACTATTTTACTCCTTATTCCCACAGTCGTCCCATGTTAGTATTTTCCCTCACTTAAGCCGCTTTCACATCTGGGTCGGCATGGATGCGTTCGGAACCAAATGTTTTGTTCACATATGGCTCACATGTGTGTATTTCGTTCTAAGGAGACTTTTTTTTCAGACTACTTCCCTCGGAGGTCCGGCTGGTGCCGAGCAGACACTATGGACTGATTGGCAGCTGAAACTCACACCTACCGCCTCCTATTGGGGAGTTGGATCAAACACCGGGGGGTTTCCGCATGTGCGATTACTTTTCATCCTGGTTGCTGTTTAGCCCACATGAAGCACTAAGCTGCTGTCTCCCGCTCCGCAGCAGAGGAGGACAGCAGTGTGTGTGTGTAGCAGCGGTTATAAGGACACGTCTGCAGCGGAGGACACTACAGCGCTGAAGTAGGAAGGATTAGAGGAGAGCAGACTATTAGAGAAGCGCAGTGTGTGTTGGTGCAGCCATGGACGTAATTTTCACTTTAGATGTGGGGGGGGGGGGGGTCTTTACAGTATGTTCAAATGGGAAACAGGCTTCAACACAAACGTTTCTACTTGGTCCTAGAGCTCAACCAGTGTCAATTTAATATAAAGTAATATTGCTTTTGGATGGTAAAAGTGCAGGGGTCAAAACTTGAATATGGAAAAAGTGGGGGGGACATGTCCCCCCTGTCCCCCCCCAAAATTACGTCCATGGGTGCAGCGGTTTGATGAGGAATTATTGTTTAGCATAGGCGGACACCGCAGACTTCTTCCGCGTGTCTTTACCGCCGCCCACATGCTCGGGGATTTCCGCATTCCTGAGAAGCCCTGGGAATCACATGTGAACAAGAAACCACCCGTTCTATTCCGAACTCACGTGGCTGAGCCCCGACCATAGCAAAGCATCAAAAACCGGAACCAGAAAAACTTTTAGCGCTGAACTCACCTTCAAAATTAAATGTTAACCCTAACGTTTACAGTTGAAGCCATTACAACATGTTTGAGGTAATTTGGCCACTCCGGCTCTCTGTAGTGGTTTCCCAATTACACGAGGGAGGGAGGGGTAAACAGAACTCCGTTGGTAACCACGGTGAACAGGCTTGATGAAACATAAACGAATATCCCCAAATAATTAAAAACCATGAAGCCAAATGCAAAGTTTAGGGCAGAACATTGACCCAGAGGTTTTCTGATTGAGCAGATTTGTGAGAATACATGAAATGATCGCTTAGAGACGTAGCAAACTAGTTGCTAGCTTATGTGGCTTGACTAGTTATATCAATACAAAGTCATCTTGTTTCTCGTTTAAAATTATATTGATAATTTTAAAATATCTATATATTGCCCAGCCCTAGCTGTAGCCGATACTACACTGCTTACATTATTTCAGAATTTAATTTCACTGTGTAAAAAAAAAATACAGTCAATTGCAGAAAGCCTCTGTTGTGTGGTGGGGTGAGTACTCTTCATCTCTAACATCTTTGAGCTCTTCATTTCAGGAGAGGGAGCTCACCAGCTGCAGGGTATTAGCAATCAGCGGCAGATGCAGCTTCTCAGGTCATCTGCGGCAGAGCTCTATTTAAGAGGAGAGGGAACCACTACACAGCGCTGGATGATTAACTACTCATGGTAGTATTTTGGCCACCCGTTCTAGGTTGCTTGGTTTCTAAGTTGATGATTGACTTGGAAAATCTCTTGAATTATTCTTGGACTCTTGTGTTGGATTTTTTGGACTCAAGTTTTGTATCCTCTCTCCAGGATCACTGGACAATCTTCCCTGACGCTCTGGGTTTGTTGGATATTATCCTCCATCCAAGAAGCAGAACCTTACTGGATTACTCACCTGGAAAGAACCATACCTTCCTGGACTTCACGGTTCGCCTCTCCTCTTATTCCTCTGCCACCCTGCCTGGCTCCCTCTCCTGGACTCACCCCGTCACTCCACCTGCCCTCCTCGACCTCCTCCACCTGCAGAACTTGGACTCTCTCTGGCTCCAACTACTCTGGGTTTATTCCAGGGACACCTTTTTGTTAGATTCCTTAAATAAATCATTGTTTTGAAACCCCCCCCCCTCCCCCCCCCCCGTCTTGTGATGATTCTTCATGTCGTGGGTTAATCACATTCCCAGGAACATGACAGCCTCTTTCTAAGATGAATAATAAAGCATCATTGGAATAATTTAATTTCAAACCACTGAATAGACCAATGCAGATGTCAAATATTTACATTTCTACACTTACCTTGACGTTTCTTGATGAACTGTAGACCGAAGGATAGTCTGTTAAGGTGTTGTCGCTGGTGTTGTGCGCTGTGGCACAGTTGGTGTTTGTTGCGGGCCCTCTGCTTGTAGATGAGTATTCAGTAAATCCATAAGGTTTCTCGTAACTTCTCGGATGGAACCAGTCTAAAGAAATAAAACAAAAAACACAGAAAAAGTTGTATTTGGTTATACAGCAAATGGGAAACACCTACAAATTGAAAGAAATTGTAATTGGCTTGCACATTTATTGAAATTTATCAAGTCCAAGGCCTACAAAGCACTTTACACAACAGCCACACCCTTTTCACATGCTTATGGTGGTGATAAGCCAGATAGTAGCTACAGCTGCCCTGGGGCACACTGACAGAGGCGGGCCTGCTGAACACTGGCACCACCGGTCCCTCCGACCACCAACAGCAGGCAAAGTTGGTTAAGTGTCTTGCCCAAGGACACAACAGCAGCACTCTCTGGTTGGAGCTGGGATGGAACCTGCTGTTTATCTGGCCCTGACCCACGCCTGTTCCCTGACCATGCACCAACCTGCTTCCCTGGATTACCATGAGAATTTCAGGATAGTGATGTGTCGGTCGCGAACGAACCGGCTCTAAGAGCCGGCTCTTTGAAGTGAACGACGGGAGCTGGCTCGTCATTGGGAGCCGTCCCCTCCCCTCCCCCCTCCCCCTTTGCTTTGGTGAAAGCCACAGGCGATTGGTCAACATGTGTAACTGCGTGTCCAGACTGTCCACACACAGAGCAGTAGGGGCGGGGAAGAGGGAGGATAAGACTCAGACACACAGCAGAGCACATGCGGGCGGAGGGAGACGAGAGAGAGAGAGACGAAGACGGTGAGAAAATGAGCGCCAGCAGTCGGAAAGTGGAGATTTCTTAAAGTGTTCAGTTATTAAATCCATAGAAATGATAAATATTAGATATATAGCATTTTTTTTACATTAGTAAATCATTTTACATATAGCTTAGCATTATTTTGGTTATAAATGAACTCTACGCAACAGAAAATCTGAGGAGCCACTTGGGAGCCGAAAGAGCCGGCTCTTTTTGGTGAGCTGAGCCAAAAGAACCGGCTCTCTAAAAAGAGCTGGAATTCCCATCACTATTTCAGGACTACACTTTTAATAAAGCTTTTACACATTTTCTTATTTTCTGGTGTCATTACAGGTCCTCCACCTCAGCCATTACATTCATCTTCCTCTACATCTTCTGTGGTTTAACATGCAACAGTGAATTGTGCTGCATCATGGTACCACAGACTGTGTAATACAACATTTCGCGCATTTCACAGAAAACAAATGTTAGTTCGCTTACACCAGAAATACAACCTTACTCATTGCTGAGACTTAGAAACAGAAACTGTTTTTGTTTTGTTACTGCTTATGTAACCCCAGACTCAGTATTAGTAAGTTAGGCTCATTATGTTTAAAGACCAGCGGCTAGGTTTGACAGGATTACAAAAAGAAATAATGCGAGTGCAAAATGAAATGGCAGGAGGCAGGAATTGAGCAAAAATAGAAATTGTTATTTTGTTGGGGAAATGACTACTGGATTACACTCACTTAACATAGCATTAATATTTTCAGAAACCTACCAACAGATTGAAAGCTAGCTGACGCGCCAGTCAGGGCAGGTGTTGTATCAAAATGTGTTTCCCTATCAAAAACGGTTTTCTCCTACGGCTTTGGTCAAAATTTTCCATCGTTCAATTATAACGAGTTCTACTTTTTAATAACATTCTCTTACTTTGATTACCCATTTTGTTCATTACAGCGCGAGAAAAACATTGGGATATATTTATGTCGATGGATGAAACACATTTTGATAGTTAGCAGTTAGATGAGGAAACAATGTTCATGGAGTAAACGCTAACGAATAACTACTGTAATGTCCAAAGAGCTAACTATTAAAAACAAAGGTGGGAATACTAAACAAAAAACATCTACACTAGGTCCAGAGCTAGCATTGGGGACGAGTGATATGTTAGGGTAAAACTCAAATCTGCTGAGGCCATTTTATGAAAGTTGTAGCTATAGTGAATAACCTAATCCACCTAGCTGTGCCCCTGTTGCAATATTAAATGCGAGGAGTCGTAAAAAGTAGCATAACAAAACAATTTTATGGAATAAACTGCAGCTAGTAGCCTTGAAAAATAACTTACTTGAGCGTCTTGTTGGCTTGGTCCATTTTGCTGGTGCAGGTGAAACTATCGCTCCAGATCAGAGCGGGTATTAGCCAGGCTGTTGGTGCGCAGATGCGGCAGCCACACAGGAAAATCCACAGAGCGCAAAACGAGCGCACCCCAAAGAGGTTTGTTCCCGCCCAGTCCCACAAGTCTTTCTATTGGCTGAGCGGTTGCTAGGAGATTGCACTTCTAAGTTTTGAGCGAGAGCAGACAAGATCCGTGAGAGCAGGGGACAGACTTGTGGGAGGAGTTTTGATCCGTGCAGAGAAAAAGTTGTCACATGAGAAGACAATACCAGTGTAAGAAGGTTAAATCTGAGCGCAAAAACAAAGATTTGAAGGAGAACAGAGTGAATTTGAAAGAGAGCAGACATTTTGAGCGCAAGCATTTCAAGTTTTGAGAGCAATAATATAAAATCATATTCTGAAATTAAAAAGAGGGTCTCTTGATATGAAATTCTGCTCTCAAATTGAAAGTTCAACTGCTCAGTTTCTGGCACTTTAATTCTTCCACGCCTCCAGAGTGCCAAAACTCCCAACAGCCGAGCGAGCAGAATCAGAAACCGAGCGCGCAGAAAGGCTGCCACACGCGCAGTGAGGCTGCCGCACCGAGCGCGCAGTGAGGCTGCCGCGTGCATGTTTTCCTCTGCCGTGTGCTCGTTGGCCAACGCGCGCACGCAGGTTTGTCACTTGTGCACATCCTTGTGCACTCACAGACACAGTTTGCTCCCTCTCAGTGTACAAATGACCTCCTCGCCATGTATATTTTCACTCGTGAGGTTCTAACCTCCACGCGCGAGTCCCGTTCGCACACGCGATGTGGACAATACGCGTGCACGGGTTTTGGCTACGCTTGCATGGGTTTTGGCGGAAACCTGCCACCATATTTTATTGTTTAAAAAGAGTCTTCACAATTTAAATGTGCTTGTATGTGTGTGTGTGTGTGTGTGTGTGTGTGTGTGTGTGTGTGTGTGTGTGTGCGTGTGCGTGTGTGCGTGCGTGCGCGTGTGCGTGCGTGCGCGTGTGCGTGCGTGCGTGTGCGTGTGTGCGC